GCCCTTTTTAGATGAGTGTCTGCTGAAGGTGAGGATTATGATCCTGCTTGAATTTTAGATGAGCTTCATCATAACATGAATCCTTTGGTGTTGCTAAAACTATTCTTGAGTGAGCATAAATGAGGTAAGAAACAAGATTTGGTCAGTGCATTGAGTTTACCTGTAGCATTATAGCTACACTGTGAGACTGAGCAGTGCCCCTTGGCTTAAAAGAAGAAAAAAAAAAAAAAAGAATTCAGCTCAGCTGTCCCTTCTAAACATGATGTTTAGCCTCAGATTTTGAATGAGATGTTCTTCCTGGTAGTTAAAAGGGTTGAAAACTCTGGAAGGTTAAATTGGTTTTTCTAATTCAAGAAAGCAAACAAAAAAGCAGAAGTCACTGCAACTGATTAATTATAGAAAAATATTACCGAATCACAGAATCAGAGAATTGCTTAGGTTGGAAAAGATCTTTAAGATCATCGAGTCCAAACATTAACATCTCACTGCCAAGTCCACCACTAAACCATAATCCTAAGTAGCGCATTTACACATCTTTTAAATACCTCTAGGGATGGTGACTCAACCACTTCCCAAGGCATTTTTTTCCAATACTTGACAGCACTTTTGGTAAAGAAACTTTTCCTAATATCCAATCTAAACATTTCCTGGAACAACTTGTGGCCATTTCCTCTTGTCCTATCGCTTGTTACTTGGGAGAAGAGGATGACACCCCCCCTTGCTACAACCTTCTTTCAGGCAGTTGTAAAAAGTGAAAAGGTCTCCCCTGAGCCTGTTTTTATTCAGTCTCCTTTTCTCCAGTTCCCACAGCTGCTCCTTGTAAGACTCGTTTTATAAACCCTTCACTTTAATTTACTGAAGAAAGTAAAGAATGCCGATAGAAAAATTGTTTGATTTTTTTCCTAAATTAAGATGTGATACCTAGGTGGTCTTAAAAAACCCACCAAAACCAAGTTTATTAAAATAACAAGCCACTATTGCTGAAGAGTGAAAATTCATTTTAATCTGGGACACTGAAACGTGTTTTCAGTGGGATGGCAATATGCTTCTTAAAGTCCACCAAACACATATGCACTAGCATTGATGCTCCACGATAATGCATCGATCTAACTAGCCAAATGCAGCTTCTCCCAAAGGCATCTCACTTCAGAAAATAGAACCTCAGACAATTTTAAGGAGCCCATTCATTTTCTGTTACACATCAGCCTTTCCTTCTTTTCTTTCTCACATTGTTCACTATTTCTCAGATTTATTTCTGTGGAGCCTGCCACTTGAAGGCCTCTGCTGCTGTTACACCATCCCAAGAGCATGTTTGCCAAACTGACAGTTGTTAAAAAGGGTGTTGAAATATATTCTGTATGAAAAAAAAATGCTAATTTCAACCTCTCAACTCTGTCTCTTATTCTCGGTCTAAAGCAAACCTACATGGCTTGTGTGCAGCCTGCCCTACTCCTGGTGCTACGGTGCCATTAGCTAATAAATGCTTTTTGCAAGGCTTTGGCAAAAGAGCTGGGGAGGGCAGGGAGTCTCGTTTGCAAGTCAATAACCAATTAAAGACTTGTTTCTTATCCAGTTCCAACCAATTAGAGGTTAGACCTTATTAGCAACCTATAAAAGTGGTACCCAAGCACAAGGAAGAAGACCCCATTAGAAGATCAACACCTCCAACTCAAATTGCTGAAATATTGCCATAACATCCCAAGTAAAGCAGACTGACAATCAATCTTGGAGCTCAGAGGGTGAATAGGACATCAAATAAGGGGGAATTTGTATCCTGAAAATGCATACTTGTTATTAGCGGCTTTTTCACAATTTCTTGAACTTTTAGATCCCTGTAGTACGTATGCTTTTGCCTTGGCAAGTATCCTGCTTGGAGTATAACACTCACGACAATACAATCAAAATTTCTCCCTGAATTTCTCAGTTGCTTCTTGTTTTCATCACTAAACACAGTTCCTTTCATCTGGGCATGAAGAGGGAGCAGGGGAAACTTTCACAGTTTACTACATTTGCTTGCGTGTGTCATTTTCTTTAATTTTGAATATGCTCCCACTTACTGTTCCTACCATCCACAAGTGGCTTGTGCCCAGTGAGGCATCATTTCAGAGAAGAACATGAAAGCTTCCAATGGCGATACATACTCTCATAAAAAATAATTATGAGGAAGGAGAAATCTTCCACATAAATTGCAAAGCTTTCTATTTTTTATTTCAAATAAATGTTCTTTATTTTATTCCAAAAATACCTCAGCTATTTCAATCGAGAACCAAAAGACTTCACTGAAAAGTTTCTACTAAAATAATGATTTTCTTAGAAGGCTTGTAACAGAAAAAGTGTTCAGATGGAAAAAAAATATTACACAGAGATCCAGCATTGGTGGAAAGTATTCAGCAGTCCTACCAAGGATTTAATTCCTGAAAAAGAACTCTGGCAGCCTATCTTTCATTTGCTCAGCCTATCAGCTTCTTCTGATACCACTGATCCTTCTTTTTATCTTGCCATTTTGGTGTCTTATTTGCTTTAATTCATTTCTAGGGTTTGGCAGAAGACTTTGCTCAGCTTATTCCAATTTCCATAGGGTTTCCATGAGCAGAAGCTGGGACCCTGCTTCCTTCTCTTCTTCCCCATCTACTCTGTCAATGTTCTTATTTACCTTTACTGCATCACGGAGTCATGATCTGCCTTTCTATTCAGTGCTTGTCTGCAGTGAAGCCTTCTGCCAAGTCTTCCACCCTGCCTTGTGTGTTTATGTACTACTGCTGCCACTTCTGTGATTGCCCTGTGCACCCTTCGGCTGAGCACCTCTTACCAGAAATAAATTCACATTCATACTGAGAGAATTGGTTTGTGCCAAAGCTTTGCTCTCAATTATTAAACCCTTTGTCAGGGAGGCTTTGATGCTAGGAATTAACTTGAAAGGGATTTGATAACCAAGGGCCATATTCATGATGCAGAGGTCTCCTGTGAAGAGCTCTTCCCCCTCCCCAGCATCTCCTGAATTTTGAGCAGATTCTCTAGTTGTCATGGCAACAGCCTAATTTGCTCTCTTTGTGATTTAAGTAAGTATCATATAAAAACTCTACAGTAAATGATGCTAAAATATCCTGGGTTTTGGTAGTGACGTTGGGCAACTTGCCACATGGCTTAATTTAATTGCTCTGAAGATGTCCCCAAGTGCATAATTCAAGGTTTCCTTTAACAAAAATCTCTTAAAAGTTTGGATGGCTGCAAGGGAAAGAGGAGGAGGAAAAGAGCAGCTGCCATTCTTCTAAAGAGAAGCATCTCCAGGAACAGGAGGGCAGTTTTGTCCCATTTTGTGGCAGGGAAATCCATAACAGACAAAGACAACAATTTGGTTGAGAATTTTTCTCTCCTTAGATCCTTAAACTCGCTGGGAAAGACAAAAACATCCACCATCCCTGTGCCCTATTCTCCTGGGGAAGGCAGTATGACTCCATCCTGCACTAGGGCTTTGACAGAGTAAAGACAGCCTCACAATTAAGAAGATGGCAATAGCCACATGTTATCCCAGTCTTCTGCCAGTCCTTCAACATGAAGACAGTGCCTGAAGAAAGACATTGCCTTTAGGAAAACTTCTGATCAGTGGTGGACTGCCTTTGTAGCTATATTGGTACTTGGGCTTGACTTCAACCTTGTGTCCCTACTGCCTCTAGAGCCAGGCAGTCCTGGGAGAGGAGCCAAACCGAGAGCTGGTGTAGGAGTTGCTCGAAGGAGTTTGGGCTCTAGTGCAAATATGAACCTCACATTATTATGGTAGTAAGTATATAGACTCTGCTGAGTAAATATTAGACAGGGGAAGCAGAGTGGAAAGGGTGTTCTTGGACTTTGAGGGACACAGGCTCCTATGAGGGAAGAAGAATGGCTTCTTCATCCTGCCTATTTTTCAGCTACAGTGGAATGAGGTGGCTATTTGTAAATACTGTACCTGTGAACATGTATTCGCGATAGCTTTCAGTATTGCTGTCACTGGTCATTAAAAAGCCCTTCTGGCTGCTTGGTCTGATCTGAGGGTGGGAGGGGTTGTTCCACCGAGCTCCTCCACTTCCAGCACCAGTCCCATAACAAAACTGAGGTGGTAACAGGCAAAAGAGGTGATCTGAGGCTTGATTTGGACAGTGGTGACCTGTTAAGGGAAGCTGCAGTGCTCTGTAACTCTTAAAGCATAACTTGAGAAAAAAGAGCAATGTTTATTTTGTTCATTTTGGGAAAACTGTCTCTTGGAAAATACAGGCACAGTTAGATGTCACTACAGATTTCTGGTCAGGAAATAAAAAAATAAAATTAAAAAAAAGGCAAACCAGAACAGCTTAGTCATTTGGTCTGAGGGAAAACTGTCAGTTTGGTGTGCTTTTTTTGATGTGGAGATTCAAACTCCCACAGCAGGCATGTGAAATCACAGTCCCCAAGCAGTGCGAACCATGTACTTGCATCCTTTGGATGACTGAACTGACAGGATGACAGCGCAGTTGCTGAACAGAAGATGTCGTGATACAAGGCAGACTCTCCCATTTCCTTGTGATCCGCTTGTCTTGTCACTCCCTTCTGCAGAATGGTTTTATTCTATTCTTTTCTCACACCTTGTATTCAAGGAAGAGGCTAAGTGTCTGAAGTGCTGTGGTATCGTTTTGCCTGGACAGAAATCTGCATCCACCGAGACGGTAATGGCCATTCACCAGGAAAATACTGTGATGGGCTGGGGATAGATGTACAAGGATAAAAAGGGAATGCCATGGATTTAGTGGGAGGAGGACAAGAGGGAAGAAATGGGAAATACAAGTGGGTAATCTAAGGTCTCCTTTTCAAGAGAGTGACAGATTCTGGTTTCTTTACCTGCCTCTTTTTGATAAAAGCCTGCCAGTGGGGGTGAAGTCTGTGACACCAGAGCCTGCACACCCTTGTTGTTTTACTAAATTATTCATCCTGTTCCTGTGATAATATAGTTATAAGGAGGAGCCTAATTGAATTTACTGTCTGGCTTTGGCCAATAGGGCGATAAGGATCCAGCAGAATGGGATGACGGTGAATCCTGCTAGTGTGCTGTGAATGTGAAGCAGGAGGGACTGGCAGTTTGTGTGCAGGAGAGAAAGCAACTCAGTCCAGGGCCCCTGAATTAGCAGACTAAGGAAAGGTAAGGGAACAAGTGGGAACAGCATTTGCCAGATTCATGTACTGACCCTGTGCCGCAAGGCTGATTTTGTTTATAGGAAAGCACTCCGCAGGCAGTGTTTTCCTGCAGGGTTTGGAGAGAACAGGAATGCATGTGGTGGCACTTGCTCAGTGCATGTAGCTTGTGCCTTTGTCTTTATATGTGCTGCAGGGGTTTATAACATTGCGTGTTCATTGTGTATGTCTGTATGGAGATGCCTATGTTTTATGTGGATAAAGCAGCAACGTAGGAAGCTTATGCATTATAAATGTAATGAAAGGAGTCAAAAGGGAGAAATTACCTCATGGGCAGTGTGGGGAAAACAGTTGTGCTTTCCGGTTTGATTAAAAATGGAAATGCTGAGGTTCTTAGTGAGCTGTTTGCCATTAAAAAAGAGCAAGTGTGTGTGCGTCTGCTTGTGTATGTATTGGACCTGCAGTGAGATGTTAAAATGGGAAAGAGGAGGTCAGAATGGAGCATTAGTCGTGGCAGGTGGAGATAAATTGCAAGCAATCTGTGTAATCAGATTCTCTAATATGGAGAGTGCAAGTGGGTAGGAAAGTGGATTAATCCTGCCTGCAGAGCCAGCTACACCTGGAAAGCAAGACGGGGGAATCAGGACAGGTTATCTGACTGGCCAGAAGAACTGAGAATCAAACCCTCCTGTTTTCATGCTGCTTAAATAATAACCTATAGAGTTGATTCCACAGATTTCTTATCTCCCTTTTAATGATGCTAAGAAAGGGTGAGCATCACTGAGGATCAGGTTAGAGCCCACAAATTAATGTTATCTGGAAGAGCAGGAGCACATGAAGCAAATTAGCCTCTGCCCTTTCTTTTGTTTCACTGGGTTTGCTTTGATAACAAGTGTCTGCTAAACAGACGAGGCAGGTAGGGGAAGCTGGATTACAAATGTGACAAGTGGTATTAAGCTGTGTAGACAGGGAATGTTGTTTGCAGTGATAATGTTGTAATTGTCCTTCTGCAGCTTACATCTTTGCAAGCCTTTAAGACAAGGCTGTCCCAGGCTTGGTAACATAAGTCACTAACCTGAGTGGACCACAGCTTGCTGTAAGGCATTAACAGGTCTGTCTGTTTCTCATATGCTTTCCCCTACTCGAATTCTTTTTAAGCTAGGATCCAGAGGAAAGTGGTGTTGAGACAATGTTGCTCACCTGTGGATATTTCATCTCAGTTGAAAACTTACTCTTATGATGAGTACTGAGGGAGATATGCTTATTCTGTGATCTCAGAAACAAATAGCCAGAGGCTTCCTCTGAAAAGAGCAGTAAGGCAAAAAGCCTCACAGGGAAAAGCAAGAAAATGGCTTGTCCTACATTAACCAAACCTGTTTGCCAAATAAGTTCTCCTGCCTCCCTGACACCAAATTTCGTTGATCAAGGGTCAACTTTCCCCTACCTGAATTCTTTTTTTTTTTTTTATTGTGGTTTTCTCACATGCTCTTAAGATGGAGAAATACAAACCCAGCTGATATTCCTGTCAGAGACCACCTCCATGCTCTCCATAGGACGTGCTGCTGGGGGTAGTGGGCTGAGTCTGACCCCTTTTGTCTCACAGTATGTGCAGGTGCCCCAAGTGAGACCAAAGGGGCACTCACCTGGCACAGGTACGAAAAGGCTCCACCTGTTTGGTGATGGAAAACTCACAGGGAATGTGTTGCAGATTCCTGCAGGATGGAGTCATGCTCTCCTCATCTCACCTGAAATAGCTGACTGAAATACAGGTCTAAGACAGGGCCTGATCTCATGTCTTTCCTGTCCTTCAGCTCCTCTTCAAGAAAACATGGTCATAGTTGAATTTGACTCCAACTTTCAAAGTACTCACAGCAACAGAGCAAGCTAAGAAATGATGCAAAACAAGCCTGGCCATCTCAAAATAAACTTTCCCATTTCTGTCCCAGGAACAGAGGAATAACTAAATAACCTGTTTATACACATACTGCAAAAGGCTGCATAACTTCCAGGCGCAGAGCAGGAGCCTGTCCTTACTAAAAGGGAGGCAGATACTCAGCCCACCTAGAGAGTCCATCCCTCTGCACATCAGAGGAAGCCATTTACACTTGCCTGTTTTGGGATACTCATCTTCCTTAGGATAGGCACATGGCGGGGTCTGGCAGGAGGAGCATCCCTTTGATGCTGCAGCAGCAGTAACCTGGCACTGGCTTGCAGCTTTTATCACCGGTTGGGTGACTACATTGTTTGCTTCTGCCCTCAGAGTCAACACCAAGGCTCAGGAACGGGCAAAATGCCAGCGTATTCCCAGGGAAGCTTACGTCATTGCCAATTCACTGGTGCCAGAGACTGTGCTGGAAACCTGAGGTCTCTTTTGCTGTTAATTGCCCAGATGATTAATTCATGCAATGATATAATTTTCTTGGGTGGAGGCTGGGAGGTTGTGTACTCTAGTAACGAGGGGCATGATGGGTGGCAAAAATTGTGCTCTTTATTGATGTTAATGCTAATAACAGCAAACTAGCCACAGTGTTCCCTGCATGATCTTTCCTCCCCCAGAAAGGGCAGAAACGGTCCTGGCTCTCCCCTGTTGACATGTGAGCAAGAGCTCTTCTGAGATTTGTAATATAAATTCTACCCTAGAGGACTGAAATATAATGCCCTTAACTTTCACAACTCCTCTGTAATAAAGGCTGTTGCTTTAATTTTAACATTCAATTCAGTCTTCTTTCACCTTGCAAATCTCATACTGCCTTTCAAACATTCCTTGTATTTATGTCAATTATGTTGCACTTTCTGGCAAGAAAAGAAAACAATTATCCTCATTTTTTGAAGAAAAAGAAGAAAAAGAGAAAAAAAAGTGATTTTGGTTCTTACTGCACAGTGACTGGTATATTGTATTGTGGAATTCTCCCCTCAGAGGATGCTGCTGTCTATAAGGGTGTAGGATCACTTTTTAGTCAGCCTGGAAACTCTTTAGATTGCCTCACTCTAGGATATTTTATTCTTCTTTTATATTCTTTTTAGGCTAAATATCCCTTTCTTGACACCTTAATAGCTAAGCAAATAAGCCCAGAATTCCCAGATGGAGATAACAAGGAGCTGCCTTGACCCGGATACAATTAGTATCTGATAAAGGTGCACTGATTTGACCTGATAATCTATGGGTAGGGGAAACTGCTAGCATGAAATGTCAAACAAAACACCCAGGACATTTTCAGAGCTGATGTAAGAGCATTTGCTTTTAAACGTCACTGCTCTGCCTCCTGTACTCTTCCCCCTTGCTCATTCCAGTGTTTCTTTTCTCCCCTCGGGCCTCCATATTCTTGGCTGGCTTCTGTCCCTAGAGGTATACAAAGCACTGGATCATAAGTCTTCAAACAGACTTTCTAAGACCAAATAGAAACCTTCCAATTTCTAGATATGCCTGTTATTTGTGGGATGAAATGGTTTCCTTTCTGTTGAAGCAGTGAGGAAGACTTGCTATCCATTCTGGATTGTTTTTCACTTCTTCCCGTCTTTCATGGTTTGTTGTGGTATTCTCCTATCTTATCTAGGGATAGTAAATGTAATGGAATTTTTCTTGAATGCTGACAAACAGCAGAGATCTGATTGGCAATTGTAGCAGATTTGTTACCAGTTCAATACTGTCAACTTATGTGTATTTATAATATGGTTATTAAAGGAAATTAAGTGATTATGCAGAACTAACGATGTCTGTATTAGCGGCCGTAGGATTCCAGACACTCACCCATTGTCTGTTTAATGAGAAATCATCCTACTGGGTTTGAGCAGATCAAACACTGAAGCAAGTTTGCAGTATGAGTTTGCTGCCACTAGCAGACTACACTGGCCACAGGAAAGGTAGCCCAGGGCACATGCTTGTAATTCAGACTCTGCTCATAAAGGGGAAAAAATATAGTGAGATGACCTTGGAAAAGTAGGAGAAAGAGTCTGTGGTGGGCTATCATGAGTGGGAAACAAAGGAGATTGGATGGAGTAGGTAAGGCCCTTTTCCAGGCTTCCTGAAATTGGGAGTATTGCCTTCAGATCACTTCAACTGGGAAGGAAGCTTGCAAAAGCATGGGCTTCCCTGTTTATTCTCATACACAAGAACAAACACACACATATTAACTCCTATTAAAAGATGCCAACACGTGTTGTAAACCAGTGTCTTCAGCCAGCTCTTCATGATCTGAAATGGCTGTTTGTTCAGCTCCCTGGAGTCTAAAAAGTTTGTTACCTCAAGCTCTACATGATTTAATTTTACATTTTATTGACAACGGCAGAAACACAGAATGAAATATTGTTTTAACTTGCTGGGTCTAGGGCTTTAAAACCACAAGGTTGTTTAAGAAAAGATCCTAATAAACCACTTTTGGTAAAAGTGATAGCTAAAGCCATTCACGTTGCTTGGAACAGAGTAAGAGGTTAATTGATGCATCATTCCAAGTGAACGGAGAAAGTCCCACGCCACTGGGACTTAGGCCTTCCAAGCTTGGTGGAAAAAAACCCAGCCAGAAATGTTTGTGCCATACCTCTTATATAGTGAATGTAAACCGTTTTTAATCTAAAAAGACTGATAGACTTTCACCAGCACTAAATTAACTTCATAAGCAAACACAAGTGTATTTACACAGGACCATTAGAAAAGCAAAACCAATAGCAGCAGAACATTCAGCTCCAAGATGACTCAGACCTTTAAAATCTGTTGTTTAAAATATAGTAACACTCCTTCTTTAGAGAAAATGTATTATTTTTAATATAGGGTATCTTGGCCCTGTGTGGTTGCCTTCTTTTGAATAATACAGTGAACATATCCGTTACACTGTCATCTTCCTCCTCCACTTTAATCTGATTTGCTCTGTTTAGTGTGAGGCTGAACAGCCCTGTAGAACACTGCAGCCTAGGAATATGTCAAAGACTTTCTTAGCTGCAGAAACACATTCGCTTGACTCCACAGAACAAGCTGATAAACTCTAGAGGAGGATGCTAGAAGATATAGTTCCT